AGCTGCACATATGATTTCTGAGTCAAGAGTCGATGACGACAAAGAACATCACATTCGACTAGAAAGGTCAGGGAGTTCTCTGTTCACTCAATGAATTTAAGTTCAAATAATGAATTCTTAATTCTCCATATCCATTCACTCACCCCATCCCAACTCCAAAATCCTTAAGACCCACGGTCCCTTTTTCAGACGAGGTCGCCGTGGAATCCTGAAAGTTGATAACGAAGTTGAACAGAGTGGTTTGAGTAGCGGAATACTGGCCATGCTTAACGCTGATGGAAACATATTCATTGGTGAGTAGAGCTTCAAGAATTTTAGCGAACTCAATTTTCAACACAATTTTTAACCGGGTAGAGCTCACTCAAACTAATAATCTTTCAGGAGGTGTACATGATGTCTATAGGGATACAGGCGGGCTGCATTCCAAAAATTTCGTCGGCTGTGTTGCGGATGTGGCATTAAATGGCGAAATTATTGACCTTATGGGAACGGCAATAGATGGGAAAAATGTGAAACCATGCGACGAGTGGATTTCTCCCAGAAGGAGGCGGCTGAAAGGTCGAAGGTACGGATATGTTCAGTGGCCAAATGTTGCCAGAAGGTCCGAAATTTAATTTTTGATCCTCAATTCCGCCCATGTGGCCGTGTACCTTGGTAGGTGAGCCCCAGAAACCCACCAACAACGAAGTCAAAAGGGCCTCTATCTCCCCCGTTTTTGCAGGCCATATAAAAGTAGAGTCAAAAGATGCAGGGCTTCTCAATAAGTACTGGCCGTTATTCTCAGCAATAGAATCTTTATTTTCTATCTTGCCGAAGTTAGTCACAAACCTCTCTAGCCGCGAGGACCTGTTCATACAGACGTGAGCGCGCGCCAGTGCAACAGAGCCTTTTAGGTAAATTCAAAGGCGGAGTTTACGATGAAAGACTTAACCCATCAGAAATTAAGTTAAGGGAGGTCAGGGGTGCAGAGATGAAGAAAAACCATGAGAAACGGCTCAGAACCCGAGAAATGGGACCTTTCTTGCCCGTTGATTTCCGCATTGATGCGACTCTCATCGGTGCTGCCCTCTTCAACGCTAACGCTCTCCCTGCTAAACGGCTAGAGTCAGACAGCGAGAGGGTGGGCGTGCCACGACGAGTATCGCCCTGGCCCGCTGGAGGCAATTGCTGCGAAACGCGCATCCCGCACCCTTCGGGGGCCCCGGTTCGATTGGGATATTTCCACTCGCACCTTCGATCCTATCGTGGGATCCTCTTTCAAACAAAACTTCTCTGGCCGCGTAGGGATGTTCAAAATGAGGTGGGCGCTCACCAGCAGAACAGAAAACTGATTTTCAGATTTGAGCCGCAAATCGTAACAGCCTCCGCGGTAGAATTAGTCCACTTTGCCCACATAGCAATCGTTCCGCCCATGGAATACTCTTTTGAAGCAGCTCATGAAAGATGAACACTGCACGATCTAAACGTTATCAGTTTTGCAAGGGGTATTCTTATGGGAATCCCCTTCCCCCTCTGAGACTAATCGACACACTCGAAGTCTGCCCACTTTTCCATCCATTTCCCCTCAAAATGGCTGACAAGCGGTGAGAGGAGTACATTGTCCAAAGAAGGGGCAAATGCTCTAATTTTCGCCGAATGACCCTTCTTTTCTGAAGTTTCGGCCAAAATCGTCGAAAATCCTTCAAAACGACCCCCTTCACAACAGTACCCCCAACAGTACCCATCCTATGCCTAGGTGGAAGCGTTCATTGAATAAGTTGGACTTCATTATTGATTGTCTGAAAACACTATGATTTCAGGCGACAACGGGACTGGACATTACTATGATGTTGTTTTCCAATAGAATTGTGTTGTTCAAATTTTTTTACTTTTTTTCTAGATACGGTCTGACATGTCAATAAATAAATAAATAGGATGACCCGTGCCTCATTCCTGATCTGTCTTGCTTCATGTGATTATGGAAATAAGTCTATTAGATGCTTTCTTGCCACTTCCACTGCCGTCTTAAATGTATACTATCTACCATTCGTCGGACCCGAGTTCTTTAGTGGACTTTTGGACCTTTCAAATGCCGTATGATTTCAGTTCCATTCTCTACCGATTTCCATAAGCTGTAATTTTATTTTCACGTGTTGTTTTACTTTTCTATCAAAGAAGTTGTTGGTAATTTGTTGCCATAAATGCTAAGTAATTGTTGTGTACGGCTGAATCCTCAGCCATGTTCTGTTTCTTCGGAGAGTATTATTTGACAGTGGAGTTGCGTCGACCAGTAAAATTGCCCTATCGGCATAAAAAGCTCGAAAAACCGGTTCCCGCAAAACTAGGGAGCTTTCAGAGTTCAAGAAATGGCTTTCTGAGCGTCGCACCAACTTCGTCACCAGAACTTCGCCATGAGATTGGGAGATTATGCGCGCCTAAAAGAGTGTGCTCGGGTAATCGTCCTTCTTCAAAGAATCCACGATGACGTAGGCGATCGAAGAAGGGGAAATATCCTATGTCGAATGCAAGTGGGCCCCTGAGGGTGGAGACGATGCGCGCTTCGGGCCAAAGAGCATGCTTTCCAGCTGGCCTCGCAGGGCCATGCGCCTGCCGCAGCACGCGCCTACAGAACGTAACTCGTAGCCATTCAGCACATAGACTGTTAACGTTGAAGAGGGCAGCACGGATGAGAGTCGCATCAGTGCGCAAATCAATGGGCAAGGAAGGGGTCCTATTCCTAAGGTGCTGAGCCGTATCTCATGGTTTTTTCTTCATCCCTACACCACTGATCACCTCTACCTTGATTTCCAATGCGCTGCCATTTCATCCTAAACTCCACCTTAAAATTTTTTGCGCAATTTTCGAGGCAGTATGAATGAGAAAAGAGCGAAGGATAGCAACGAGCATTCGCGTCACTCCCGCCGTCCTGATGCACCGTTCATACTTTGTGCCGGGATCGGCGACATGACATACAAGATAGATATGACTCGAGCAGATGCCATACGCCAATTCTACAGAAACGCTGAAAACGATCACTCTGGATATCGGCGAACTTCCACATCTTTTTCGCGATCTCCCAATCCCACGATTCTCCTGAACGATGAGCACTTGATCCTTCTTGAATCCATTCTCCGCCTCTCCATTTCCAAGTGAGCTCGGAGCCTGTATGATACACATAACAATCAGGACAATAAACCTGCTGATCGATTTCTCCGTTTGAAGAGCGATTTGCAGATGAACTAACAAGTCCAACGTTCATGTGGAACTGAATGATTTCTGATGCCCTATTCAACCTCGACAGAACTAATCTCTCGCCGTGGCTGCAGCGTACGATTCTGAACCGAGCAACCACCAAAATTCAGCTATCAAACTGAGCAGGATGATCCAGACGATATACTAGAGGCACGCCTCTTGCCGTGCATTACGAGATCTTTTGGTAGGATTAATATGCAAGTGTTCTATCGATGAAGGTAGTCATCGACTCGATCACGGCTTTCTTTCACTCAAACAGCGCTTATCCCATTTCAGATCGGAAGAGCCCATTCTCGTAATAACCTTACAAACGTAATCATATCAGAAACTTCTGAAAAAAAAACAGTGATACTCTCTGTTGCTATTTTTGCTTTTGGCATATTTACACATCACCATTCTGCCTCCCACTAACCGCCAGACCTCCTCCTAGCGTACGCTTCACGGCTTCTGCTCAGCTGATTTCCACTTGCAGAGTTGACAGCTCCTAGGGTGGATACAAAAGTACAAAAGGGGTATCCTATACAAGGGGGGGGGGAGGTTGTGGCAATGAAAAAAGTCACTCGCCCTCCACATTCAAAACGGAATTAATTACACTTTGCTAAACCAAACCGAATGACCCCAACTGAATATTGAAGAGCACATTCCAATCTATCAAAAACTTCATAACAGCCTTCTACACCGACGACATCAGAAGATTTTCCCACGGTAACATGGGCACGGTTCGAGCTCAACGTGGTCCTCGAGAGATCGTGGGACTTTATCTGAAGAACTGGCTGGAAGCCGTCTTGCACAGACAGAGCTACTGTCTCTAGAAGCTATCCATTAGTTAAACGATTGAAGAAATTATGTAGCAGCTTCAGGCTGGAGCGATTACGGTAAGCCTCGTTGAGCTCGACGGTGATGGCAGATGACGTCATATTCTGAAGGGCGAGGGCAGTGAAGAAAAACTTGCTTCTGCCTATGGGAGATTTGACCAGGAAGCTCTTTCAGGTCGTGCTCCGCTTTTTGAAAACGGTTTTGCATGATCTAGGGGCACACACATGGACTTTCTCAAGCGGCCCCCTGAATGCCAAGAAAGAGACGTTTTGACCCCATTTTCTGACAAAAACCTATTGGTACGGGTTGCTGATACTCCAGCTAGTAGACAGGATCTACTAATGGCCGCCAGTACCATTCCCAACGTCATGTAAGCGTCAATCGGAAACGCAAAACTTTGTCACCACGAGGAACCGAACCATGAACCAAACTTTCATCCCTTTCTCACGCCGTCCATGAAAAATGAAGCACACTTCCATGTTCCATGTACGTGTCCATATAACGCAAGAACCGTTCAGAAACATCGAAGCCACACCTGAAAGACCTCCCTCGTGAGAAACTTTTTGCCGTTAAATTTCCGTCTATGGTGGGACCCGGCACTCGATGAAGTGAGCCATGGGAATACACACATGGACATAAAGACAGATGGACGTACTACAGAAATGTGCGCATGCATACTGAAAAACCGACACATCAAGTTTGTTGCAGGGCATACAATGAGCGTTCAGAGAGGGCTAGAAAGAGGGAGGTGGTCATATGGCGCGATAC